GACCATGTGCTTTTCATGTTAATATTATCAGTCAAATGCAACTCACCCCCATACCCCATTCACTTCTGGCGTCTCTTATAAATTGAACTATGTGTCATGCTCATTGTTTGCTGTTCCACACCATTTACCCTCTAGTGCGAATTTCTATTCTTCAAGCTGATATAGTTCAGACTTATTTTGTCTGTTGCAGGATAGCGATGTTGTTGAGAGGTGCCTGGCAGCAGTAAATGCTCTTGCTTCATACCATTTCAAGGAAAGATTAGGAGGGAGAGGAGGACTGAACTCGCAGCTCATGGAATCTGAAGGATCAAATGGCAAACTGCAGGAAAGCATATCGAGTCACTTCTTGAGACTTCTATTGCAAATACTTCTTTTTGAAGATTTCAGGTGAGCTCTGTGTATCAGTAATTTGATTTTGACTGCTTTGAATCTTGAGCGAAGTAGATTTTATTTGGCATAATTTGCCAATTATTTAGTAGCTCTAGTTTTATGTAAATTAAACTTCTAAGCTGTCAAGCTATTTTTGCAGATTGGAGTTGGCAGGTTATGCTGCAGATGCTTTGCTTCCTTTGTTGTTCTGTGAACAGGAGTTATATCAGGTCCCTCCCCCTCCTTCCCTCCGATCTGAAAAATAAGTACTATATTATGCATATTATAATCTCAGTAACCTGAAGAAAATGTTATGTCAATAATATTGGAAGCTAATACTAAACTCAGAACTATTAAAGGGCAGACCCAGTGCAGAACTATTACATCCATTTTATTCTGTAATGGACTGATAGTCATCAGATCGAGCACAAACCTGATACTAGTTGTGTTCTTTGCTACATATCCTCACCTTGCTTTTATCTGCAGAGATTGGTCCATGAGTTGCTCGAGAAACAACAGAATCCTACCGTGAAATCAAGGCTGGCAACTGCGTTCCATAACCTCACAAGTTCAAACAATCTCTCAAGCTCGCTCGACCGGCCAAACAGGCAGAGATTCAGGAAAAACCTCCTTAGCTTCCTGGCGGATGTCTCGGGCTTCATGCAGATCAAGTAGATGCGATGGCATATGGAACCAGTGATTGTTTGACCGGTCAATTAAACCCTGAGGAAGCACTTCACCATTGTGGTAGGAGTTCATGTCGGCACCACATAGCGGTGGATCGATGAGAGCGAGGACTGCCATGACAACAGCCGTCTTGGTCCAGTAGATCTTGAAGGGCTAGTGTCACCAGAAAAGATAGGGAGATGGGGCTAGTCTTAGGGTTGGCATTCATAGCACGTTTGCTGGACACGATGGAGGCGTCTCTGGCCATGAGATCGTCGTGTAAATGCGTTGGTTAGACGTGCTCTACAGAAACGGTGGGAATTTTGTTGTGGCGACTCGTTTTGTCATGTCCTGCAGTTTCCCACAAGCAGGAGGTAGAATTGGTGGTAGCTTGCTAGCTCGAGATGTTGAGTTGATGTAAAATACTGCTTGACTTCAACGTGTCTCATTCGCAGGAGAAAGCGTCACGGCTTGCTGTAACTAGATGGGTTTATTACTCTTCCTTGTGGCATAGGATCCCCAAAGAAGACTTTGCTGGGGTATTTGCACCCAAATGATGAAACAGTATGATTGCGAGAGGTTTTCAATTTTTCCTACCAAATTTGGCCTGCAGTTATGATGACACTGAGTGCAGATACAGGCATGAGGCATGCCAAAACTGGCGGGCACCACAATGACACTCAAAACATTGACTCCTTGATTATGATGATACTCGAGTGGATAACAAGTGGTTCCATCCGTGTCTATGAATATGGGTTCAGTGTTAAATCTGTAAACGACCGATGTTTAAATCACCCATCTCGGTGGGGGTCACTGCCGCACCGGCGTCTGGTCCTGTGCGGCTATGCTCCCTTGTGTGAGAATCTAGGCTTCAGCAGCACTCCAGTCCAGTCCATACCTCACCAGTCACCACTGGGCAGCCTGTGCGTCGGTGCCTGCGTGCACAAGCTGTTGCCAGATCTCAGATCGTACATTCCTGTGTGCAAGCAGGCTTGGGGCCAATCTCTTTGAATTCGATGGGGGATGCGATTGGTTGGCCGTCCATTCGCATGCCTGCGTTTGGTCGGTCGGATATCTCTTCTCGAAGATCCATTTCTGCGCAATTGTTTGCAGTTCTTGTAACAATACCCCCGCTGATTCTTGTAGCAATGGCGTGCGATTTGATACCAGCATGTCGAAGTGGAAAAACAATTCGTTTTTTATTAGAATTGAAAAACGATACAGCATTGATAGTGGAATCTGAGACTCACGTGACAAGAGCACGGCAGCGACACTGGATGACGCACCGGCAAACAGTAGCGTCACTATTCTAGTGGCCCCAGTAGACGGACGCCGACAGAGATCCTCGTCCATCCAAATTCCCAACCCAACGCCGCTACATCTGATGCTAATCATGTGCTTGTCTCTGTTCTAAGATTGTCTTTTGTGCTCTGGCTTTCTTCTGTTGCCACTGAAAAGCTCACCTAACTAACCGCTGTGTTTATAGAAATTAATCTCATCAATGCTCAGAATGTTCGCCGCTGCCCTTGGGAGGACAAAGCACATCGTCTCAGTTCGTCCATAATATACAAGTTTATTATTGTAGTAGGTGACAGCTGTGACTATTATAAGTTCATTTGGGAGAACCGTGCCCCTCCTACAGTTAAGGGTATGTTCGGCAGGACTGAAAAATACTGTTCCGGTTGATTGTTGTGAGAAAAAAATACTGTTCTGGTATGACGTGAACAGTGATTTCGTGAGTGACAGAGCCAGCCAGCCAGCCGAACAGCCTCTAAGTTTTTTGGCTGGCTACTCGTCCAAGACAGAATCCAAACACGAGAGAATTTACTCAAGAAGAACTGTATTGACTCAGACCTATGTGAGTTGTGCGGTGCTCAGGTTGAAAGCACAGCTCATCTTATTGCCGGTTGCGCCTTTGCAGTTGGCTTTTGGCACTGGATTGGTGTGCAAATTGATGAAGAAGATGTTGCTACTTTTTGACGCGTTCAACCACCTTCCACCATCCCTGCTGCCAACTTCAATGCCTTTCTTCTACTTTGTTGTTGACGTCTCTGGAAGCACAGGCATGATGTTGTGTTCCGTTCCTTGCCTCCTTGCTACACTCACCTCTTCGCGGGGTGTCGTGAAGATGCCGAGCTTTGGGTATGTAGGTTGCCCCCATCAAATAGACATGTTGCTCATGCTTGGGCTTCGTTGTTCTTCTCCCCATCCTCATGTTAATTTCTTCAACAAACTGCCCATATATGCTCCTTTTATGAAATGAAAAGGTGGGGCTCCCCCCCTAAGATTTGTTCTGTTCCTCTCCGCATCCGGCCCTTCCTCCCTCGTCCTCGCGGTTGGTCTAGGTTGCCCTTCCCTCCCCTTGACCGTAGCACGCTGTAATTCCGCATTGGTCTACTTTACTTTTTTTTTTAGCATCATTGGTCTACTTTATTTACTTTAACAAATAACAACCAAACCGAGCAGTGAAAATCTGCTGGGCTCAGTTAATTGTCATCGTCCTATTCGTTTAGGCTGCTTGACTGATAAGTAGTACTCTGGACTGATTTAGTATGAGAGAAAAATACTATTTATGGATCGAAAAAGTACACCCAGCAAAGAAAAAAAAAAAAAAAACGGGGCGCGTATTAATCCCCGCGTCGTTGTCATCCTGCCACCTTAACTCACCGGAGCCCAGCTTTTACCCAATAGGCCAATACCCACCTCTCTCTCTCTCTCTCTCTCTCTCTCTCTCTTCCTCTGCACATTCGCTCGCTCTACCCCGCAAGTCGAGGCCTTCCGCTGGCTCTCGCTCGCTCGCTCCGTGACCGGTTGCCTCTCCGCCCCGCCGCCAGCCCTGAGACCGGAGGCGACCGCGCCCCGCGGTGGCGCTGCGACCCGGCGCTACGGTGCGTTGCTCCGTCCCTCCATCCCTCCTCTCCTCTCGACCCGCGCCGCAATGCGGGTCCCCGCCTCGGCCCACGCGGCGGCAGGGCGGCCTTGCTCGATCTGTCGCCGCCGTTCGCACTGCCCGGCGTGCCCTCTCTCCTCGGAGCCGCTGGGGTTCGCCCGAGCTAGCAGCCGCCGTGGATACGCGCGCTCGCTTGCGCGATTTCAGCCCGGTGCCTGCGCAGCGGTCGCGGCGGAGGTCTATCCCGTGCTGTGATTGCTTTCCGTTCGGTGTTTTTCTCGTCTGTTATTAGGATTCGGTTGGTTTCGTCTGCTGCTCCGTTCAAGTGATTAGTTTGCGATTTTTTTAATCTGTTTCTGCTCTCGCGCCGGACGTATTCCACTCCCGTCACGCGTCGCACTGCCACGCCCTGCCGCAGTGGTGCCCGTCGCTGTCGCGCATTTGAACCGCGTCAAATTCAAAGCTTTTTATGCGTCTGTTGTGTGTCTGGCTGCCTAATCCAAAAATTGCGTCAAATCCAAATTTTCTTTTCCGTGTATGCTTGGCCGCCTAATCCAAGTTCCTAAGGTTCGGTGCTGGTGAACCGAATTCCAAGCCCGTTTCCTCCAACAAGAGCCCCCGAGATCGGAATCGGCGAGTAAAATAAACCGCAAAAGGGAGCTTTATTTAAAGGGGTGGTGATCTTTCCTCTTTGTGATCTGTCCCCCACTTCACTTCACTGCTGCTGCTGTTTCTTCTTCACCTTTGGGCACTGAAGGTTGGCTTACTTGGACAGGAACTTCCTCGTTTAATTGCATCTTGTACAAGTCTTGGGGCGTTTGGTGGGAGAATTTAATTCTTCCCAACGATTTCCGTTCTTGGGGGCTTCCATCTTGGTTTCAGTTCTGCAGGCTGTGTGTTTGTGGTAGGGTTTCCTGCTTACTGATAGCTTCTTATAGTGATAGGGTTGTTTCTAAGGACTGGTGTTCTTGTTTGCAGATCAGTGTGACTGAGAGGGGAGGAATTCCAGTCAGTCCTTTATGAATCCTGAGGCCTGTGCTTATTAGAGGGAGGGCAAGGCAAGTTGGGATCCGAGATGAGGGGGAGAAATGACTCGGGGCACAGCAAGAGGCCGGTTGTACCGTGCTGTGTGATGATTGTGTGCCTGTGCCTCCTCTTCTTGTATTTCTCGGGCTCCAATGGACAGGCTGGGACCACCGCATTTGAGTACGGGACCAAATTCTCACGGTCACTTGGATGGGGCAGTGATGATGGTGAGGATGGCTCTGAAGAGTCCATTTTTGGAACTGGGGATGCAGATGATGTCAAGCCCAAGAGCTTTCCTGTAAGTTCCCAACAAGTGTTCAGTCCTTTTCTTTTGTGGAATTGTCTGTTGATGATTTTAATTGTTTGTTTTCTTGGGTGTTTAGGTGTGTGATGACCGGCACTCTGAGCTGATCCCCTGCTTGGATAGGAACTTGATATATCAAATGAGGCTGAAGCTGGATTTAAACCTGATGGAGCACTATGAGAGGCATTGTCCTCCACCTGAAAGGCGTTTTAATTGCTTGATTCCTCCACCACATGGCTATAAGGTCACTACTGATCTAACTCTTCTCTCAAAATGTTCTTTTATTCCAATTAGATCTTTGAGATATATCTCACTTGACTTGAGTTCATAGACTGACCATTTCAAGCTTTCAACCAGTCGTTTTAATGTAATAATTGCAGCAACTGCATCTTGTATATAGTAGTGTGTGCTTCATTCAATCAATAGTATAAGCTCTTTTGCAAGTTGACTAAGATGATTTTGTCTTCGTTATCTCTAAGACATGGTTATATGTTTTCCCTGTGCTTTTCTGGTTTATTCATATTTTTCTTGTTAATAACACGTGCACTGACCTTCCAATCTATACTTATCTGAAATTAGTTCTGTTTGATTGGATCCTTGCTGAACTGTATCAGATCCACAATTTTTTTTCAGGTTCCTATAAAATGGCCAAAAAGTCGTGATGTAGTGTGGAAAGCAAACATTCCACACACTCACCTTGCAAAAGAGAAGTCAGACCAGAATTGGATGGTTGAAGCCGGTGAAAAGATCAAGTTTCCAGGTGGTGGGACCCATTTTCACCATGGAGCTGACAAATATATATCAAATATTGCAAATGTAAGCCTTCTGCCTTGACTCCTTTGTAAGTTGCCCTGAAATTCTTTTATCTGACCAATCTCTACTATTTGGCAGATGCTAAATTTCAAAGATAACAATATAAACAATGAGGGGATGCTTCGTACAGTTCTTGATGTTGGTTGCGGAGTTGCTAGTTTCGGAGGATACCTACTTTCTTCTAATGTGATAGCAATGTCTTTGGCACCAAACGATGTGCATCAGAATCAGATTCAGTTTGCACTTGAAAGAGGGATCCCTGCATATCTTGGTGTTTTGGGAACAAAAAGGCTTCCGTACCCAAGTAGATCATTTGAACTAGCCCATTGTTCACGTTGTAGGATCGATTGGCTTCAAAGAGATGGGATTCTTCTGCTTGAACTAGACAGATTGCTACGACCTGGAGGTTATTTTGCTTACTCCTCTCCTGAAGCATATGCACAGGATGAGGAGGATCTCCGAATCTGGAAAGAAATGAGTGCCCTTGTGGAAAGGATGTGCTGGAAAATTGCAGAGAAAAGAAACCAAACTGTTATTTGGGTGAAACCCCTGAACAATGACTGTTACAAGAGACGAGCACATGGTACAAAGCCACCTCTATGCAAAAGTGGTGATGATCCAGATTCAGTATGGGGAGTGCCAATGGAAGCTTGCATTACTCCGTATCCTGAACGTGAGTAATTATCCTGTTCCCACCTAGCCCTTTGATAGTAAGGGTGTACCCTGCTTTTTCCTGAGAAAAAAAAAAGAATGTACTTGTGACATTTTGCTTCTCTCATTTGTCATACACGATTTCTGACTTTGGGATGTGAATATAACATTAAATTAGTTTCTTTATTGATTCATGGTCTTTTTTTTTTGCTTATGTCAAGGCATGATTCCTTTTTTGTAGATAAACAATTCTGGAAACGATTGTATTTTTTTCAATATATACTTTTAATGTTTGTCAGTAATAGCTAGCCATAGGGTAGAAATTCCCTCTGCCCCTATTATTTCACTTTCTCTAATCTTTGGGATGCAAGAAGAATACTGAATAAGTCATTTTATGTTTTCAGAAATGCATAGAGATGGGGGAACTGGGCTAGCTCCCTGGCCTGCTCGATTAACAACCCCGCCTCCCCGTCTTGCTGATTTGTATGTTACTGCAGACACATTTGAAAAGGACACGGTTAGTTGACCTTACAATGCCTTTATGATCATGACATACCATTTACATTCAGAACTTTCTTATTTGAGTCTTAAGAACTGCATAAAGATTGCTGATGTAATTCTTGATGTGCAGGAAATGTGGCAGCAAAGAGTAGAAAATTATTGGAGTTTGTTGGGCCCAAAGGTAAAACCAGACGCTATTAGAAACATCATGGACATGAAAGCAAACTTTGGGTCATTTGCTGCTGCACTCAAGGAAAAAGACGTATGGGTGATGAATGTTGTGCCACATGATGGACCAAGCACCCTCAAGATAATCTATGATAGAGGGCTGATAGGCAGCAATCACGACTGGTATGTGTTAAGCACCTATAAATTTATCCATTGTTATTATTGAATTTTGTACAGCTAAGAGATATCAACACAGTACCACTTTGTCATGCCTTTTTCCCTTATGTTTTAGTGGTAATTAAAAGTGCAAATTACAACTTTTTATTGACGGTCAATGCTGTATCTCACAGCTATATTCTGATCAGACGGTTACAACTTTTTATTGACGGTCAATGCTGTATCTCACAGCTAATTAAAAGTGCAAATTACAACCTTTTATTGACGGTTACAACTTACAAGATCACGGATGAATTTTTATGATGAAACACTGTTGAACCTATTGGCTGTGCTGACTTATGCAACTATAACTTAGGAGCGAATTCCTTCAATACTTTGTAAGGAGTGTTTCCTTGTTAGAATTTATTCTTGGTATGGAGTCCAAAGGTTTTAGACTTAGTAGAACTAAAACTGAGTATATGAGATGTGACTTCGGCACTACTACTCGGGATGAGGGAGATATTAGTTTGGAAGGTCAAGTAGTGCCTAGGAAGGATACTTTTCGATATTTAGGATAAATGCTACAGAGAGACGGGGATATTGATGAAGATGTTAGCCATAGAATGAAAAGCAGGGTGGATGAAGTGGCGCCAAGCATCTGGTATCCTAAGTGACAAAAGGGTACCACAGAAGCTAAAAGGCAAGTTTTATAGGACGGCGATTAGACCTGCTATGTTGTATGGTGCAGAATGTTGGCCTACGAAAAGACGACATGTTCAACAGATAAGTGTCACGGAAATGCATATGTTGTGTTGGATTTGCGGTCATACAAGAAGGGATCGAGTTCGCAACGATGATATACGTGATAGATTAGGGGTAGCACCAATTGAAGAAAAGCTTGTCCAACATCGGTTGAGATGGTTTGGACATGTCCAACGGAGACCTCCAGAGGCACCGGTGCGTAGTGGAATCCTAAGCCAGGATAGTAACGTGAAGAGAGGCAGAGGAAGATCGAAGTTGACTTGGGTAGAGGCAATAAAAGGAGACTTGAAATGATGGAATATACCCAAAGACTTAGCTTTAGATAGGAGTGATTGGAAAACAGCTATTCATGTGCCTGAACCTTGATTGCTTCTGTCTGGATTTCAACTCTAGCCTACCCCAACTTGTTTGGGACTTAAAGGCTTTGTTGTTGTTGTTGTTGTATTTTAGACATAACAAGTACCTTTAGGATGAAGCTCATTAGAACCATTCTGCTACTGTTCTACCCTTGATGCATCTGAAAATACTGGGTGTCTTGTGTTAAAGGAAATCTGTTTTGATTGCTGCAATGGTATTTGGCCCATAATGCTAACATTGTATGTCTATTGGTTAGTCTCTCTCTCTCCCTCCTCCCTCCCTCCCTCCCTCCCTATGTTGTCTGTCTATTTTTTAGCTTCTCAAAAAGTGTTCTGCTGTGCCTTGTATGCTGTACTCTTTGTTGTGAAAATTAGTATGCAGTTTAGCAGTACGATCATGGGCCTCATGGTTGAGCCCTCTAAAGCTCTATAAGAGCCAGATCAAGAGTTGGGCAACTGAAACTATATTCTTGAGTTACATTTCCTGTTTTTCTGGTTTGAGTGAAGGTTTTGTTGCATTGCCATTGCAAATGTTAATCATTTGGCCCACATTGTTTGCAATCAAGATTGTTATTATTGGCAAGTTTCCGTAGAAGCTGGAACATTGTGCTTCCACATTTACAATTTACTCTAATACAATAATTTGTTTGTAGGTGTGAAGCCTTCTCGACCTATCCTCGAACATATGATCTTCTCCACGCATGGGCAGTCTTCTCTGACCTTGATAAAAGAGGTTGCAGTGCTGAAGACCTGCTCCTTGAAATGGATCGTATCCTCAGGCCGACTGGGTTTGTCATCGTGAGGGACAAGAGCACTGTCATTGAATTCATCAAGAAGTACCTCCACGCACTTCACTGGGAAGCAATAACTGTTGTAGATGCTGAGCCCAGCCCAGAATCAGAGGAGAACGAAATGATCTTGATCATCCGGAAGAAGTTGTGGCTACCAGAAGCAGGCTCTCAGCATTCCAGCACGTAGTTCTTTTCGTTCGAGTCCCTGTTCCTCTGCCAGCATCTGCAGCTCAGAAGCCGAGAAGCGAGGCGCAGCTGCACCATCCGAAATGATTTGACACCATAGCTCCTGAGATCAAGTCCAGTCATTATTTCTAGCCCTACCGCCCACATGAAGATAGATTATTTATGAGGATACGGCAAATATGTAGCAGGCTTGGATTAAGAAAAGGCCTTTTTTTTGTCTCGACAGATATGGGATTGATGTTGCTCTCTAGTTTGGTTAGGAAATAAACATTCTTTTTCGTGTTAATCTTGAAGCTCATTTAGGTGTTTCATGTCCATTTGTTGAAGTCTGCTGTAGTAGTATATTTGGTGTTTTACTTGAAAGAACTACTGTACGCACATTTTGGGATATGTGCTTTGCCCTAGAGCCTTAAGGCTGTGGGTCCTCAACTCAAAACTACTCGTGCAAATCTCAACCGGGAGAGCACTTCAATATAAGCAGGTAAGTTAGAACACATTGGATAAAGGTGCCCTGTGGTTGCATGGATTTATGACATACGTGGTGCGTATATGTTGAAGAATTGGTTGTAATTGTTGTTAATACATTTTCTGGTGAGAGCATCCGCACCCCTCAAATGTACTAAGTAGATTCGCCACAGGTGCTGGAAAGAGGAGGATAAAATCATGAAAATGTTGGTGGTTTTAGCACGTAAATCTGATTACACTGATTAGGTTTTGAACAAACAAATGAAAGACTAGTCTCTGCAAATTGAGTATTGACAAAGTGAGAGAATGGTTTGGTTCCTGCAACAACATTGACATATTGATCCTGTTCGCTTTGCTGAAAAGCCATGGCTAAAAGTACTGTTCGCTGATTTGTTGTGAGAAAAAAATATTGTTCGTTTGCTGAAATAGTATGACTCATAAGACAAGCGAACAGGGCCATAATCTGTCATTTGTAGTGACCTATAGCGTACCAAGACTGACGGCAGATGTAGTACAATTGTGTACGTGAGGCCAATGCTTATGTAACAGAAGGCCAATTGGCTGAAAAAAAAGCAGTTATAAACACATCGAGACTACTTGCTACCTGTAGAACAACTGAATAGTGAGTCAGTGGCGAATCTACGTTATGGTGTCGGGGTCAGCCGACCCCAACGACCTTGCGCTAATCACTTGTACCCTGCGATTTTTCACCACTTGTGACCCCGGCCAAAAATATTCATGACCCCGGTAGCCTGAAAGCCCATCTAATGATAAATTAATGATCCAGTCAAGGACGCATGCAGCAGGCCCAGTAGCAGTCCAATTTGATCCCCTTCTACTCTGATCTCTCCGGTTGTCCAACGCGTTTTATTTATTGCATGCATTTTAAAAAGACAAAAATCAAGAGTTCAGATTTATTTGAATCTTACCTCATCGGTGGAACGGTAGTACCATAGCAAGGTCATTTTGTTCAACAACGTAGCTTTTAGTTCCCAAGGAAGTTAGGGTAGGCTAGAGTTAAAACTCATCGAGAGTCCTGAGTCACGGTTTAGGCACTTTAATAGCTGTTTTCTAAGCACTTCTATTCAAACATAGATCTTTAGGTATATTCTAAGCTTTCAAATCTTTTTTTATTGCCTCCCCCATGTCAATTTCGGTCTTCCTCTACCTCTCATATTATTAGCTTGGCTTAGAACTCCACAATGCACTGGTGCCTCTGGAGGTCTCCTTTGAACATGGTCAAACCACCTCAACCGATGTTGGACAAGCTTTTCTTCAATTGGTGCTACCTCTAGGCGATCACGTATACCATCGTTTCGAACTCGGTCCATTCTTGTGTGACCGCAAATCCATCGCAACATACGCATTTCTACAACACTCAGTTGTTAAACATGTCGAATCTTTATAGGTCAACATTCTACTCCATACAACATAGCCGGTCTAATCGCCGTTCTATATAACTTGCCTTTTAGCTTTTGTGGTACCCTCTTGTCACAGAGAATGCCAGAAGCTTGTCGCCACTTGATCCACCCTACTTTGATTCTATGGCTAACATCCGCATCAATATCTCCATCCATCTGTAGCATCGATCTCAGATACCGAAGGGTATCCTTCTTAGGCACTATTTGACCTTCCAAATTCACATCTCCCTCCTCCTGTACAACTCCGCCAAAGTCGCATCTCATGTATTCGGTTTTAGTTCTGCTCAATCTAAAATCTTTAGACTCAAGGATCTGCCGCCATAACTCTAGTTTTCTATTTACTCCCGTCTGGCTTTCGTCCACTAACACTACATTATCAGCGAACAACATACACCAAGGGATATCCCCTTGTATATCTCTGGTAACCTCATCCATTACCAAGGCAAAGAGATGCGGGCTTAAGGCTGATCCTTGATGAAGTCCAATTTTAATCGGGAAGTAATATGTGTTACCATCGTTTGTTCGAACACTAGTCACAACATTGTTGTACATGTCTTTGATGAGGGTCACGTACTTTGATGGGACTTTATATTTGTCCAAAGACCACCACATAACATTTCTTTGTATCTTATCATAAGCTTTCTCCAAGTCAATGTAAACCAAGTGGTGGTCCTTCTTCTGCTCTCTAAACCGCTCCATAACCTGTCTTATTAAGAAGATTGCTTCTGTGGTAGACCTTCCGGGCATGAAACCAAATTGGTTTGTTGATATTTGCGTCGTTCCTCGCAGGCGCTGCTTGATACTCTCTCCCATAACTTTATAGTGTGGCTCATCAACTTAATTCTCTGATAATTAGTACAACTTTGGATATCTCCCTTATTCTTGTAGATTGGTACCAATATGCTTCTTCTCCACTCCTCAGGCATCTTGTTCGATCGAAAGATATTGTTGAATATCTTGGTTAGCCATAATATAGCTATATCCCCGAGACATCTCCACACCTTGATTGGGATACCATTAGGGCCCATCGCTTTGCCCCCTTTCATCCTTTTCAAGGCTTCTCTGACCTCCGATTCTTGAATCCTCCGCACAAAGCGTCTGTTCGTGTCATCAAACGAGTCGTCCAGCTGAACGGTGGTGTTCTCGTTCTCACCATTGAACAATTTATCAAAATACTCTTGTCATCTATGTCTGATCTCATCCTCCTTCACCAAGAGCTGCTCTCTCTTATCTTTTATGTACTTGACTTGGTTGAAGTCCCTTGTCTTTCTATCGCGAGCTCTAGCCATCCTATAAATGTTCTTTTCTTCTTCCTTCGTACTCAAACGTCGGTAAAGGTCCTCATAGGCCCGTTCCTTTGCCTCACTCAACGCTTGTTTTGCAGTCTTCTTTGCCACCTTGTACTTCTCTATGTTGTTTGCACACCTATTATGATACAAGCGCTTATAGCACTCCTTCTTTTCCTTAATAGCCTTTTGCACATCTTCATTCCACCACCAAGTGTCTTCTGAGTCGCATGCGCTCCCTTTGGTCACTCCAAGCACCTCTGAAGCAACCTTCCGAACGCATGTTGTCATCTTCTCTCACATGTTGTTTGCATCGTCTTCATCATTCCAAGGGCCCTCTTCATTGACCTTTTCCTTAAAGACCTTTAATGCCTCCCCTTTTAATATCCACCATTTCGTTCTAGCAACCCTAGCTTGTTTGTTCCCACGAGCTTGCACCAGAAAGTGAAAGTCAGCCACCACCAGCTTGTGTTGAGCGACCACACATTCTTCAGGTATCACCTTACAGTCCACGCATGTTCGTTTATCCCTTCTTCTTGTAAGGACAAAGTTGATTTGACTAGAGTACTGACCGCTACTAAAGGTCACTAAATGGGACTCTCTTATAGAAGAAAGTGTTAGCTATCATCAGATCAAAAGCTATGGCGAAGTCTAAGACTTCCTCTCCCTCCTAGTTCCTACTACCATATCCGAAACCCCCATGAATCGCCTCGAAACCTACACTTGATGTACCTACATGGCCATTAAGATCACCTCCTATAAAGAGCTTCTCGCTACTAGGGACAACTCTAACCAAGCGATCTAAGTCTTCCTAGAAAAGCCGCTTAGCACTCTCATCATGGCCTACTTGGAGGGCATACGCACTAATTACGTTTAAGACTATATCACTAATGACAAGTTTAACTAAGATAATCCTATCCCCTTGCCTTCTCACCTCCACCACACCATCCTTGAGTCTCTTATCAATCAAAACTCCTACTCCATTTTTATTTGAAATTGTCCCTATGTACTAGAGCTTGAAGCCGGTATTGTCCACCTCCTTCGCCTTCTGCCCCTTCCATTTAGTCTGTTGGACGTATAAGATATTTACACGCCTCCTAACCGCTGTGTCCACTAACTCTCTTAACTTACCTGTAAGGGACCCTACATTCCAGCTACCTAAATGGATCCTAGTTGGCTCGACTAGCTTCCTTACCCTTCGCACCCACCGAGGTAGATGTGAAGACCATCGCTCGTTTTGCACCACACCCGGACACCGATGTGGCACGCCACTAAGGATGCGACGACCCGATCCTTGCTCATTTGACACCGAGTCTAGATCGCAACACGGCGCGTCACGGGGGTGACGACCTGGCCCTTGCTCATTTAACACCATACCCGGGTTCCGACATGGCACGTCGCTAAGAGGGTTATGCCCTAATCGGATTCTTTTGGGTTTCATCTCCATTAAAATGGCTAAGTTTTTACATTGGCTCGCCACGCCTAACACAACCCTCCTCTTTTACTAGGGCCTAAGACATGCTATGCTGGGACACCAAAGACGCCCCATCATAGGCAGAGTTTCATTTTGTTGCTTGTATTGGATTAAAAAATTTCTCCTAATTCTTATTCCAACAAAAGTTAAAGTAAGAAAATTAGTGATTTTTTATGCATGTCTGCTTGCAAATTGTCAATGTAAAAAAAGTTTATTAGAGCACCGACTAATTTAATAAGCAACCAAAGTACACAATCATTTTTCATGATATGTCATATGCTATTTTATCGATTACTGGGTTACGTTATGCATGTTATTTTATTATACTATTATCACAAGCTAAAAGTGCCCTTGGCAAGGCTCTCGCTCCAACTTTTTGTGGAACGGGCCTCTAGAAAATAGCTCCTTGCAAAGAGTCCATAGCAACCGGAGATGTTTTTTATAGCCAAAAAAACAACTTCTCCTCGCCAACCTAATAAAAATTATTACAAAACTACTACTGGAGTCGTTTTTATGCCAAACTTCTCCGGAGCCCTTTTAGGAGGACCCCGAGCCCTTCCAAAGAGTATAATTTTGTACTGTCACAGGACGATGCATGCCCATGCTTTTTCTTTTTTTACGGAAAGCCTGTGTTGTGAATTGGCATCAACTAAGGATGCCACAGGACTACAGGAGCATACCCAGTCTTGTCACCTATAAGGTACAGAAATCATGCGCGCTTGCCTGTGTTGGGCCAGCCCGCATGCGTGCGTGAGTTTATACGGAGACCACCAGTGTGGGATCAGCCCATTTGCCTCCAGTAGTACCTCTTGGATAGAAATGATTGCATACACACTGATGTGTCTGTTTGTTGATGTAAATATAAGATGGTTCTATTTGTAGAAGAAAATAAAATATTGAAAACTCTAAGTGGCGCTAAAAGTTGAGAACGCGGCTACCTAATTTATTGTAAAAGGTACAGATAATTTTAGAGTAAGGAAAAATTGAACCATTGACTCAAGGTGTGTCTGTAACTGAGAAGAGAAGAATAAACGAACTGTAACTAGAAGAGAAGAATAAACAAGTTGTTTTATGTAAAAGGCATTGCCCTGCCCTTTCTAGGAGCAATTCTAGGTGTTTCCTATAATTAACTTGTTAAACCAATAAGTTTAATTGAGTTAGCAAAATAAATAGCAACCTCAATTTATTTCTCTTTTCAAAAGTTTCCTATACTAGCTTTCCAATGATTTTGCAACCAACCAAAGCTTCTTACATAGTTTCTTTTTTCTTACCACTTTTTCACCTGATACCTTTTATGTTCTTAATTTACTATGTGTCCAATTTACTCCGAGCAAAACACCGAACAGGGAGCAGATATAGAGTTCCTATCGACTGAGGAAACTTACGAGTTGGAGAGGCAATTTACCAAGTTCTTACTTTTAAGGAGTAGCTTTACCAAACTGTTGGAAACATCTTTTTTATCTTTTTGCCAAAAAAAATCTAAATTGGGAGTTCATTTAGGAAACTCCTGGAGTTCAAAGCTTGCAAGTGTACTTGCTTGCTCACTAGCAAGGACAACTGGAAAAAAAAATAGAGCTGATGCGCCTAATCCTTTTTTATGGTGTATTGAATGGAGGCCACTTGTGCAGGTTGGTTCGTAGAATCACATACAGATGCATCAACAGAGACAGGTAGGTAGCAAGTCAGGGAGATGATAACCAAAAAGGCAGTAGCAGCAGCAAAGAGATCAGAATTTTTGTCAAGGCACCATCAGTGTGAAGTGCAATTAGGAAATCAAAAGAAAAGGGTAAATCACTTAGTACTGGGTGTGCTCTGTGCTGCTGCTTTTTGTTTGTAGCAGGGTGACCCTGAATTACTGATCCGTTGTGTAATTACAATGGTGTACTCTGAAATTTCTTGTAGGTAAGGAAGCTTGAGGGATGATAGTATGCTTCGAGCTCATATTCAATAACCAATTCGAAGTAAAAGATTGTTTCCCTAGCAGATGCATTTGAAGGAACCTTTATTACCAACCAGGTGTTACAATGTTACCTAGGCCAATCATGGAGAATGGTCATGCAACATCTGCAGTTTGGTGCATAACCAACTGAAAATGGTATTAATAAAGACTAATTCGCTAAAAAGGTTGAGCCACACTTATCATAATTGGAGTGAAGAGCACCAAGAAAATGTGGTACAAAAAAAGAAGCTGAAACTGCAAAAAGGAAAAAATGCATTCACATATGAATGCCAATAAATGAGCAAAGAATGTTTCAATGGCACTATGTTCAAACAAATTGCAGAAATCAATTAAGGAAGAACTGAACAAATGGTCGTAACCATTATTTTCAGAAATAGTGCAACCAGTCTGAGGTTGCATATTGTAATATTTATCAGATAATCTCTTTAATAGGAATCTTGTACCAAAAGCGGGTGATCATAATCCAAATTTTACTGAAATTCAAATTAAAATGTGCATGCAAGGTCATAGAACTTAGAAGCTTGTTAGAACAACCTATTTATACATTTGTATTACAACAGGGTGACTGGAACCTTCAAATATATATGTGTGTTGATAATTGACTACAAGTGCATAACTCTAATCAATGAGGCATTGAGCTTGATTTGCCCCCAAAATATTAGTAAAAATAATTACTTGATAGCTAAGATATTTTTTTCTCGAAAACTAGATAGCTAAGATATGAAATAATTTTAATACTTGGCCTCTGATTGGATCTCTTGAGGAACCTGCATTATAAAATCAATAACTTTTCTTAGAAGCATGAATTGGAAATTTTTTTTTGGCAAGACTGAAGTCGGTGCGAAGTTAATTAAAAATGTGTCCCATGAGTTGCTTCACATAAATCTGTAGGAACTGAAAGAGGTGTATTATCTATATAAGGTGAACATAAATCGTATCTCAAATCCTCTAGAATGGTGACAGGAAGAAACATAGTAGAACAGTACTTATTGCCTGTTATCCTAGTTTATAGAATAATTATAGAGTACAAAAAATAAGAAAATACTGAGGGGAGGTCATAATATTTCTCCACCAAAAAAAAAGAATTCTTCATTGGAATTTCTATCCGTAGACTTATCAGTAGTTTTTTTTGTCTTCGCTGTCTCTAATATGAAGGATGCATACTCTATTTTATTTGAAATCAGTGTTTTCTTAGCAAATCAATATACTCAAAACACGCAACAATGAAACTTATAGAACATTAAATAACATGGGAAAGATGTATACCTTGTCCAGTCTTGATTGTTAGATTGTTACTTGAGCCTTCGTCTCTTGCAAATTTGTGGAAATATACTGCAAAAATCAGTATTTACAGTAAAAAGCTCCAGATTCTCACATGAAGCTGGTCATATCTGTTGCCCTGGCTCCCAGGAGAGCAAACTGGATATACACGGAAGTGTTGAATGCTTCAAGATGGTGACATTGATCGCTGATACCAGCCATAACTGATAGTGCAAGTGTGCAAATGTCACCAGGCCGATATTAGTGTACCTAAACACAATTTTCATGGCATACATGATCCACAATTTTAGTCAGTTCCCTTCTTTTACCATGCATCTCTGCAGCTGCATGTACCATCCTTAAAATGGTGATAGGTGCAACCATCTGAAACGATTATTTCCCGGTTCTTATCCCTTGAGATGAACTTGATGGATGAATGGCACTCCATGCACATTCTAAAATTCTTTGAGATGCGTATTGGTTGGTGATCATATGTGGAGATAAGCCCATAACACACCGCAATCTTCTCTGTGTGGTGGCATGACAGTGGATCAACTTCTACATTGTAATAGGGGCCAATATCTTCAGTGGAGTACCCAGATTGCTCCATCCTGATAGTTAAATGTTTCCATGTACTCAAAATTGCATCAATTGCAGGATGCGACAAATTTCCAGCCTCGAAAGAGTGCACAGTCGTACCATTGTATAACCAGCTGCATTGTCTCTCAACATGTAATCCTTGCTCTGTCATGGCATCCCTCACAGCCTCGGTGGCATCCAACAAGCCTGTGTCTGCATATATATTCGAAAGCACCATGTAGTTTGAAGGATTATTTGGTTCAAGCTCGAAAAGAGCTTTTGCTGCCTTTTCCCCAATCTCTAGATTTGAGTGCAGCTTACAAGCTTTAAGCACAGTAGACCATAGGCATGCATCTGGTTTCAGCGGCATCTTCTGGATAAGTGTCAGTGACTCCGCAAGTAGCCCGGCTGATCCCATGATGTCAACCATGCAAGTATAGTGTTTTAAAGATGGTTTTATGCCATATACATCTTCCATATTGTAGAAATAGCTCTGAGCTTCCTCGAACAGACCTTCTTGCTTACAAGCTGAAAGAAGTAAAATGAAAGTAATGTGATCTGGTTGAATACCAGACTGTTCCAAATAATTGAACAGATCTATAATATCCCTAGGCATCCTATGAAGCAAGTAGCAACTCATCATTGCATTCCATACTGCTACGTCCTTTGGAACCGTGGACTTGAAAACCAACCTGCCATCCTCAATATTACCACATTTACCATACATATTTATCAAAGCACTTGCAAGAGTAGCTGGGTAACCACCAGGCCAGCATTTTGTGATGTAGCTGTGCAGTTCTCTACCATATCCCAATGCCATTGTCACACCACACGACATAAGAGCTATGTGTACTGTAACCAAATTGGGATGCAAATTGGACTGGAGCATTTCACCGAGCAGCTTCAGTGTTACTTCTGGCTTCCAATTATGCTTGTAGGCTGCCATCAGACTGTTCCATGTGACAACATTCTTGTTCCCAATTCTCTGGAAGACATTAACAGCAGACGTCATGTCACCAGTCTTACCATAAAGGTCGACTAGTTTGCTTGAAATATAGATGTTTGATGTCAAACCATTCTTTAAAGCATAGCAGTGTACTTCCTTCCCAAGACGATCTAATTTGAGGTCTGCCAATAACGAGAGGACACCAGTAATGGTTGTGCCAGTTGGTTGAATTGGGCCACAATTATCAAGAAATGTCCAACCCTTTGCTTTTCCATCACTGGAACGCTGCATGTATCTGAAAGCTTCAAGTGCATCTGTGTAAAGGCCATGTCGATGCAAACCACAAATTAATGCATTCATTGAGACCACATTAGGCTTTAAGCCGACATCAGCCATGCGTGAAAACAGTTCATATGCTTGTTCATTCTGACCCACTTTAGCATATGCAGCAATGAAACTGTTATAGGTGACAATGTCAGGCTCCAATCCATCCTCCTGCATCAAGTCAAAAGCCTCCCAAGCTTTGTTCATCCTCCCCTCTCTGATATATGATTGAACTAACTCATTCCACACATTGACATTCTTCTCCTCAATGGTGGAAAAGACAACTCTCGCATCATCAAATTCTCCGCACTCAGAGTACAAACTAATCAAAGATGCTCCAACATAAACATTGATCTTGATTCCACACCGCAAAACATAAGAATGCAGCTGCTTCCCAATGCCTAGTGCCTGCAAACCAGCACAAGCAGGGAGAATACTAGCCACAGTCACCGCATCAGGCCTCTCACTCTCACACATCTCCTGAAAAACCTCCAAAGCCTCGTCATACAGTGCATTCTGCACACAACCCGAGATGATGCAGTTCCAAGAATTGACTCCCGGGTCGACACCTCTTTGCCGCATCTCGTCAAACAGATGCAGAGCAGCAACGAGGTCACCACTTCTTGCAAATCCAGACACCAGCGTGTTCCACGAAATCATGTCCGGGCGAACACCGCTCTCTTGCATCTCTTCAAACAGGTCGAAGGCCTCTTCCAGCTCCCCAGCATCGGCGTGCGCGCTGATGAGCGCGGTCCACGCCACGACGTCGCGGTCGGGCAGCGACGCGAACGCGGCGCGCGCGGAGGCCACGTCCCCCAGCGCCGCATACATGGCGACGATCGCGTTCCCGACGACGGGGTCCCCCGCTAGCGCGGCCCCGCCCTTGGCGGCGAGCGCGTGCGCGGCGGACGCAAGGCGGGGCGCACCAAGGCTGGCGCAAGCGCGGAGCACCTGCGGGAGGAGGAACCTGTCTGGCGCGGCTCCCGCGGTGCGCATGGACGCAAACGCCTCGCACGCTGCGCCCCAGCGCCGCTCGCGGACGCAGGCGCCGATCTCACGCGCGTAGGAAGCGGCGAGGTCCCGCTCCCGCTCCCGAGGGGGCCGCGCGCGCGCGTGGCGCGGCGACGCATACCCCTGGGGCGCGCCGTTGAGAAGCTGGCAGTGGTACATGTAGGTCGATGGGTTCTGAAGGGCGGTGCAGCGAGGCGAGAAGGCGGTGCGCAGGGGTGGGGGCGGGGGCGGGGACGGGGACGGCGGCAGCGCCGGCGGCATGGTGGCCATGGTTTTAATGGCGTCAGTTCGGCTGAGCCTGAGCTCAAGCTCAGTCACTTTTTCCTTTTCGGGTAGCGTATCTTACTGTTCAACTTTTTTTATAGAAAAATCGCACTGTACAAGTGAGTGTGTGGACTGTGGAGGATACTAGTTGGGCTTCATGTGCTGAAACTGAGTTTTGCTTAAATGAGCCCGCAGAGTGGCGGAATCAATTCGCGATCATCTTTTCCACTCGGTTTGAACCGGAAGAGAAAGTGGACCCACGATGAGTCATCAGAGGTGAAATTCTTGATCAGGTAACGATAGGATAGGGGCGTCCTGCGCTCCGCTCGACTCTGCCACCGTATGTCTAGAAAAAATCGCTCGTACGGCTGCTCGCTGCAGACAGCACACCCGCCAGCCAAGGCCTTCTTCTGCACGGCGACACTGCACCCGCGCCCCATTCCTGGCTGCTCTACACCCCCATCCCCAGCTACTCCGCGGTCCGTGCCTCCATCCACCTCGCCCATCGTAAAAGAAGAGGCAGTAGAGGCATGCGCTTGCGCCCCCATCAACCTCGCATGTCGGCATAAAGGGGAGGCCTACGCCTACGCCTGGGGATACACTGGGTCATTGACGTCCCCTGACTAGTGAATGTTGCAGGAGTATGTTTCAAGTGTTTTAGATATTTCAGAAGTATGTTGCAAGTGCTGTATATTGATGTTGCAAAAGTAAATTGGGATGTTGCACAGTTATAATGGCTATACACGTATATTTCAAGTGTATGTTTCAAATGTTTCATATGTTCCAAACGTATGTTGCAAGTGTTTTATCTGGACGTTGTAAATTTAGATCTGGATGTTGCATATACATGCTTGCTACAAGCATCTGTTTTCAGGTGTTTTTGCAAGTGTTTCATCTCGATGCTGCATATGTTTGCAATGATTTTCAAATGTTTTTCAGGCATTTTCGTAAGTGTTTCATCTGTATTTTTTTTGTATGTTTCAATTGTTACATCTGGATGTTTCAAAAGTAGTCAGGTGTTGTTCTAGGCCTTAGCCTTCGAACACCAGGTTGCCGCGCGAGCAGATCAAGCAGACCGGACACCGAAGCGAATACAAAGTGCGAAAAACACGGTAGATGCATTCATAGTGAAAAGGTTTTTCTCCTCTTACAATTTCTTCCCCATGGGCTATTTATACACGTCCGTAGGCTTTTTATGGACGGAACTACCCTTCTACCTGCTACATAATCGAGGAATATTCTCGTCCGCCCAGGGCTTGTTCGCCTTTTCGGAGGTATCGCCCGCCTCAGGTAGCGCCGGCCCTCTGGTCCCCGCGTCGTGTCGCCCTTTTGCCGATCGAGCGATCCCCAGTGGACCAAGGTTGTCGACACCCTGTCCCTTAGCAAGCTCTCCTCCGAGCGAAAACCTGCAAGGTCAGATACATAGGCAAGCGCCACACATTCGACTAGGTGAAATGGCCCGGACGACTACCATACATACCGGCATCGCCCACACCTCTTCATTCGGGCAAAAGGAGCGTTCCATGCGCCTGGACTGCCCGGACCCAAAATGCACAACCAACCTCTCGCCTTGGCAAAACGACGATAGCCTCCGCTTGATTTAGTGTCATCTTTTCGCCTTGGCGAAAAGACCACGATCCCTACGGGAAATGGGGCTAGCCTCTTCACTTTGAGCAAAAAGGTAACAGGCCCTCGTGTAAATGTTAGGCCGCCATTTCGCCTTGGCGAAATGACAAGTGATACGTGAGCCACGCGTTTGAGTCATTTCGCTATGGCGAAACGGTGGCGACATAGGGGGCGGCGACGTATGAGCCCCATGGGGGTGCCCAAAGGCTTGGTGTGTCCCCAACATTAGCCCCTCGGCATCGCTCGAACAGCTTTCGCCTTTCGCGTGGATGTCATGGCGGTCAGCCGAGCGACCCTGCCGCGGGGCTCGGACGTCGTCCCCTATGAAGAGTGGAGGACTGATTTGACCTGATGGAAATGTTTTTTTGAAAGAGAAAATGACTAACTGATTTTATTTTTTGATTTGCGTGTCGCAGTTACTGTTTCGCGACAGCTGAACCGCCACGATGGTGAAAGGTCCTTGTTTAGTTTTGGTGATTGAGTGACAATCTAGGTAGACTAATTGTGTTTAATATGAGATACACATGTGATTAGTCCATAGGTACATGTCTGTGAGCAACACATGCCATAGAGGTGAAAATGGCTCAAAGATATTACAAAGCTCACACATGTGATGAAGGAGCTCATTGTATATAATACATGACATTGAATCATGTGACTAAGATGGAGAAGATCAAGACAAGACTTGGCTCGACGGACCGGTTGCAAGTGTAAAGGACAAGTTGAGTGATGACTTGGCGCCGATGGACCGAAGCAACGGTGAAGAGCAAGTGAAGTCAAGATCAATGAACCAATACGGTCATGTGATGATATGAAGTGGATCATTTTCATTTGTGATATGGTTGGTGCATGTGTTGCATCAACAATGGAGGAGATGGAATGGAATGCGTAAGGCAAAGGTATAACTTATAGGGCATTTCATTTCACCGATCATAGGTGTATATAGAAGTTTATGACCGGGTTTATGATAGATGGTCGTACTATTAAGAGGGACAAACTTGTTTGCATATCGGTCATCTAGTGCCACTAGAGTGATCTAACTTTGCATCATTACTAGGATCGAGTGGCGTGGTGAACTGAGTGACTAATCCTTTGAAAAACATTTGTGAAAAGCTAACACACATACACAAGATGGTGAATACATAGTGGTGTTGGCACATTTGCAAAGGAGAAGTTGTTGGTGTTGAAATGGATCAAGTTGGAGAGGAAAAGAAGAAAAGTGCAAGTTATGGTTGTCTGGGGGTCAGAAGTTGCAACCTAACTCATAGCCAAATCGCAGCCATTGTAGAGGGTGGCACCGCCCTTTTCGGTGGACAAAAAGTGGGCACCGCCACCGCTAGGGCGGTGCCAGGGGCTGTGCCCAAAAACTAGCAGCAACACCCTTTCGTATTTTGGGCATAACTCCTAGTTTCGAACTCTGATTTCGATGATCTAAGACTTTTTGGAAAGCTAATGAAATGCTCTACAAGTCTGAAATGGTGGGTCTCAATTTGGAGCAAGTTAGGGTCATCGGACTGTCCGGTGACCATGGTGGTGTGGCACCGCCCCTTTTTCCTAGAGAGGGGGGAAACTCGTCGGGGGGCACCACCACCCCTAGGGCGGTGCACCGCCCCCTATGTCCGGTGCCAGGGTCCCAATGACTAGTTTGAAATAGCTATTGCTATTTGACCATTGGGCACCGCCACCCTATGTCTGGTGCCCGCATGTTGCTATCTGGTGACCTCGTAGAAATGTGCTACTTGGCTCCAACAGCTCTATTTGACTTGGGGGGCTATAAATAGAGGTGGAGCTCGGCCTTGGGCTGGTTGCTGAGCACCCTTAAGGCTTGGTGGCTTGTGTAGGTGTGCTTGAGATCCCTCTAACTCACATACGTTTGATAGTGATCATCCGATTGAGTGTGAGTGTGATTCTAGTGTGATTGCATTGCGAGAGTGCATCGAGTGGTAATAGATGTTCGTGTTGTAAGCCGGTAGTGCTTGTTACTCTTGGAGGTTGTCACTTCCTAGATGGCTTGGTGGTGGTCTCCATTGAAGCACACAAGGAAGATTGTGCGGTGCTCCAAAGAAGTGATTATGAAGGGTGTTGTGCTCACCTCGCGGGAGTTGTGAAGAGCAACTCTAGTTGAGCATGTCATTAAGCTATCCTCACTTTTGGGCAGGTTCTTGCGATGTCCAACATGTGGGCTTGGCGGGTGATGCCAATTAGCCACCAAACCACCAAGTGAGCGGTCGACACAATGGGGACTAGCTTGGTGGCAACCAAGTGAACCTCAGGATAAAAATCATAGTGTCATCATCTTCCCGTTGGTTTGCTGAAATGATCCCAATTTTCCATGAACTGAAAATCCACATATACGAATTATAATGTGATAGTCCAGGAGATCGAGCCATCACATTATCAAATAATAGTTGATAGCACAATTCATACATAGCGGAAGTACAACTTTACAAGGTATTACAACACTTGGTTACACACCTAAATACATCGTTATACTAGCGGAAACGCACACAGGGCTTCATCAGAGTAGACATGGCGCGCCAGTGGGTGAAGGCTCCTCCTTCACAGACTATTGTCAGAGTCGACATGGAGCATCGACAGGTGAAGGCACCTCCTTCACGAGCAATTATTAGAGTAGGCATAGAACAACAGTGGGCGTAGACTTCATCTTCATCTCCTCAACCAAACTTGAGCGTAGGCATGAGACAATCTAATCCTTCTAATCTCCGTTGTCGTCGTCATAAATGACATCCAAAACCTACCAAATATCTTTTAGTATGATTTGTACTGGCCATTGGCTCCCACCCTATGCTTTATGTATGCTTTGTAGTAAGTGGAATGCAAGGGTAGAGCAAAAGACCTATATATGGCTGTAGGTTTCCTATGCAAGTTCATCCATATTTTATAATAGTTCATCAAGTTTTAACCCATCTCATCCACACATTCACCCATCCCATCACACACATCTCACCACACTCTAACTCTCTAGGCTGCAAGGATGACTCTCGCTCATACCTTGCCTCAACGGCCAAAGCCGGAAACCAACACCAAACTCAGGGGGAGAAGAAGAAAGGACACCTCTCACTAGTCAAGTGAAGCGGTAACACAGGAAAGGTCAATAGCCAAAAGGATGGCCTATGTATCAATCGATCAACCATACACTCTGCAGAGGTTTACACTACCCATAAGATACACCATCATCGCCAGTGGCCCCCGTCTAGGCTGATTCTGAGCTACCTTCCAACTAGCATGATGCCACCCTACCACTCAGCCCTAGGGCACCCCAGAGTCCACCGGCACGCTGAGACTGTGAGACATAGTACCGGGCCCCTAGAGGTCACTACGCTATCTTAGGAGGGTGTGGGTCCTATGCCCGTACCTCC